TTTTTCAGCCGCGTTATTGCTATACGTACCTCGTCATAGTCAGGCGGTGGAACGTCGACTCCGTCATCATCGACTGCGGGCTCGGGTTCTTCTTCTCCACAACTTTCCGTGCTGCTACCATTTAGTAGGGCGGAAAAGTGTTCCCTCCATAATTTAAGTACGAAAAAGTGTTATATGGTAGAATTAAAATTAATGGTATATTTTTGTTGGTTCAATCTAGTCCTTTCGTTGTGTCGAAGCCACTGTACCTATTCAAGGGAATCAAAATAATAAGCATAATTTTCGTGTAGTTTGATAAAACGTGGAATAAAATCCTCTCCACTTTTCTCTAAAATTGATCATTCTCCAATATATATCAAAAAGAAACTTCTCCGATGCCCAAAACTCCAGATATAAACTCAGATCTGAGTAAAAGGTGTGTACCTATTCAAGTGAAGCGGGGTGTACATAAACGGGTGTCCCGATAATTGCAAACGATTTTTGTTTAACAGTTTTGACTATTCATTTTAATTTATGAGTTTTACTAAAATTTTTTAAGAAACAACGAAAATCCTATAACTTAAGTTTTAAACATTGTACAAGATTTATAACAATACGACGAAGTTCAAAAAATGGTCATACAAATTTCAAACTTTTTAATTGGAATTCCTAGATTCTGATTTTTGAGAATTTTTACCGCTGACCATGTTAATCGCTTTCTTCCATATAAAATATGTCCGATTTTTTTATGGGAGATAATGAGCAAACCTGCTAACGAGGCCGCTACTACATCACTAAAATTTAATGGGCTATGAAACTGCATACACGAATTTTTTCTAGAAATTCCAATAAGTTTGAAATTTTGAGGTCCATACTTTGAACCTCGTCGAATTATTATAAATCTTATATATAGTTTAAAACTTTGAGTTATTTGTATTGTAATTTCATTTGTATTTATCAGTTGTTCATTTGGCAGCATATTCATCAAGCCGTTTCTAAGACGTAATTGTTGGGTCCAACAGTTGCCAGCAGTTTCGTAGCAGTTGATCTAAACAGCTACGTCTTATGAACGCTCCCAAATGGTTCTGCATCATGCTGCGTTGATCATACCTTGTGATGCTAAAAAGTTGATGCCAACCCATTTTGGAACGAACTTTGAGCATCAAATAGTAGAAATACAACTGCGTTTAATACAAATTTGCGGGCTGTGCGGAAAAGCGTTCGATGAGCGGTTTTCTTGCACTAAATAGCGTCCCCCCGGCGGGCGTATTCACGTATACATACACGCTTTGCTTGAGAAGGCAGCGTAAGCTTCATTTGACTTGTTCGCACGCCCACAGTGAGATCGATTGCACGCACACTACAAAAATGCTCTGCCTAGGCTGCCCACCTCTACACTAAACAATGTATTCGGCCTCATTGCGTAAGTCGTAAATTTGGCTAAATTGTACGACTCGACAACATTGGCATTGTTTACTGTCGTGGTGAAAAAAGTAAACGACGAAATTTGTCGAAAACCATACAGTGCTGCCAAGTTTTTCCGTTTTAATACACTAGTCGAGTGGAAATCTTAGGCAATGACGTGAAATTTTCGATACGATTCGACTCTCGAAAAACGACTTGCATTCGACACGACTCTCGCAATGAGCCTGATTTTCTTGCACTAAATTTCAAATGTTGTTCTGCATGAACCAAAAATACAAGATCACGTAAGAACGCGACGTTGTATTTGTAGCTGGTTTTGAGAAAAAAGTTTGCAAAAGCGGGTTCGTCAGCTGAGCGTTTGTTTACATCACAAGCACCACTATTTTACACTTTTATTCAAGTAAAGAAGAGTTAATTCAACATGACAACACATTTTAAAGCATTTTGTTGCATCATTTTACCTAAATTGTGCGTTTAAAGTGGCTGACAATAATTTTGGCTAATTTTGGTTTTCGTTGTTTTCTTTGCTTTGTTTACTTTTCGCTCGTTTTCCAGTGAAACAAGATGGCGTAGAACCCGCTAAAACAAATCGACTTTTTTCACTCTCTTGTTCTTACGTGATCTTGTGTCTTTCGTTCATGTGTTGTTCTGCATCATGCTGCGTTGAAAAAAAGTTGATGCCAACCCATACGAACTTTGACACTAAAAATATAAATACAACTCTGCGTTTAATACAAATTTGTGGGCTGTGCGCGAAAGAGACCTATAATAGAACCATGATAGAAAGTGACAAAAATTAAAAGATATGTGGATTATAAAAAAAAGAAGCAGCTGTAGTGAAGAATTTTGCATCTGTGAAAAAATATAATTTTTGGCATATAATCGAAGCATTGAAGCTTCTAATTAAGTTCAATACTAGGCGAAAAATACGAGTTTGCAGAAAAAATTATTAACTCTGCAAAAAGGTAGAGTACCAACTTTTTAATTTCGCAATAAGTGCCAACCAATGCTTAGAATGACGAGTCACCACAGCCATTGTCGCTATAATAAATATCGAAATAAATAGAATGTGGAAGAATTACATATTGATTATTCGCTAATATTTGGTGTTCAAGTGCATATGTTCAAATTACCGAATTTAGAAGTAGGTGTATGAGGGCAACGGTGGGTACATAGTGCTAAGGCAAATGAGACGCAATTTTTTGGAGATGCTTCTGCAGGAGCAACCAACGGCACTACTATACGGTCCAAGGAAACAAGAATGCGTGTCAAGTAGAGGGAAATAACGAAAAGATGACATCTTTGTGTATGCGAAAACTACCTTAAAGAATGCCAAAAGAAATATTGGGAAAGATAAATGTTTAGTTATTTGTACAACGATTTATTTCAAACAGAAAGCATTACTAAATAAGTGTGCAGATGAAATAATTTTTTTTTTACAAAGTGTAGGCTCTTGTCTACAATGTGAGTACAAGTACCCCTGGGAAATGTTTAGTTATTTGTACAACGATTTTGTGATGGTTTTGTAGAGGGGAACGGGGGTGTGGCCCTTCAAAACACCTGTAAGCGAAAGAGGATGGATAGCGCTCTATAAAAATCTATATATATTTTAATACAAGGGAGGATCAAACAGTATTAAAAATATGCTACAGAAACTAACTAACAGCAAGCTAAGTAGCAATGACATGCTAAAACAGTATAGTTGCGTTCCAGATGCTTCAGGTTTTACAGGATTTGCAGGAACAGCTGTTTTCTCCATTAATAAACCTTATGGAAGGTGGCCACCGGGAACGGCTTCCTGTAAAAACCTGTAAATCGTGAAGCATCTGGAACGCAACTTATGTTAGAGATGGATTGACATGGCACTACATCTTGTTTGTGTTGACATGAACTAGCCATGCATTAAATGTTTAAAAACGAAATTTTTACAGAAAATTTTGAATTTTGCAGTACTTTAGTACATACATACATACATATGTGATAAGGAATTTCGAGCATTGGTAAATGGCCAAAGGCCGCTGACTAGGGGCTGTTGAAAACAATTTCGCGTCATGCGACAATTCATAAAGAATTCGTTAATTAATTATTATCCCTATAAACATTTTGGGGAACGTTCGAAAATGACCTTCGATATCCTATCCAATATGCATATCGAACTGAGAACGAACTCATAACCAACATAGTTTTCCAACGTTCATAGTGTATTGGAAATATATTCGAGATAGGTTGAAAAAAAATGAAAATCATAGTAACAAGAGAGGAAGTGAAATCCAGCTGATTTTCGAATGGAAATATAAGACAATCACTCTCATTAAAATTTCAATTCGATAATGGGCTGAATTTCGAATTTATAACGAAGAGAAAATACATTGGATAAGGAAGGTTCCGTTTTGCTGGAGAATGGCCAAGTTCTCGAATCGAATACTAATCCATTCCCCATTAGTTATCGAATTATTATTAATTAATTTTTCCGGAACCGGTTCACTTTTCATTTTTGGTTTCCATGTATTTACTATGCGCGGAATAAAAATTTTCGGGTGAATTTTTTTCGCGCGAAACTCGATAAGGCCGATTGGTTTTCCAATCATTTTGGAATTGTTAACCAAGCCAAACGCTTATTGGGATATTTTATAGTATAGTAGTAGTGTATTCTTTCTCCAGTCAACTTTAATAATAAATTAACAAACATTTCAATTTTTTGTGAATGTCAAAATTTTAAAGCAACCGTTTTTTTATTTTTATCACGACATACATTTATTTAGTTAACAATATTTTTATATTACAGCAATTACACGTTTTGTATATGAGCATCCGAACTAGCCAACAATAATTTCAGTGCAAATAATCGAAATATTGGTATCGAGTGGGCAAACAAATTCGTAAAAATTATCAATCAATATGGAACAAGGATTCAGTTCTGGAGGCTCAAATGCCTCCGGCGATAGTGTCGGAGGTTTTGGTCGTAATAATGCTGTTGGCAATGCCAGTGAAGGAAATGGAAGCGTTGGAGATATTATTTATAACAAGAATATCACACACAAAAATAGTGCCAACGGCAACGGGCTTACACCAGAAGTAAAGGAGATCTATCGGTACGTATTATAAATACATGTACATACACATATACATATTTATATGTTACCGGATAACCCGATCTTAGACAAACTAGTTTTGTCTTGGCTAAACTAGATCAGGCGCCACAGTATTTTTGCGCAGAACACGTTTTCGCGTAGGCGGCCTTCGGCCGGGCTTTAAAGAAATAACCCTCCTCAGTCCAACTCTAGGTACGCAGTCTACAATATTGTTTGCGCGTTGGACGGTTGTATCGGATCTAGGAAGAATTGGTTTAACCTAGGGAAAACTAATTTTTCCTAAGATCGGGTTTGGCCGATAACATACATATACATGCTAATATATTATATATTCCTTACTAGTAAAATAAACTTAATATAGCAAGCCTACTTTAAATTACTTTTAAAACCACATATATAAATGCTTGTTAGGTTGTTATACATACATACATTACACATGTGCAAATGTGTATTTATATTGTCTTTTTTTATCTTACCATAAAATATAAATCTTTTATAACTGTAAATAAATCGAATATCTAAAGAAGTTTTGAAGATTAAGATAAGATCTATTCATGTAAAAATTATCCAGTGCATGTAAAAAGTACGTGAACACAAACCCAGCTGCAATCATGATACAAGTGTTTAAATTTTTGTATTTTGAGCAAAAATTTTCAAGTCTCTTGAAGAGCTGATTAATTTGTTAAAAAAAACCAAAATACAGAAAAATTTGAATATATATTGAAGGCTTTTTGATATTTAGAAAAAAAACTAAAATGAACATTATAAGGGCTGGCAAAAATATGCAAGAAAAAATGCACTATAAAAGCTCAATAAATTACCAAAATATGAACTTAACTATGCTCAATCAATCAAGTTTTATTGAATTTTTACAAGATTTTTATTCAAAAGTACACAGCATAAAGTATATAAGTATACAGTATAAAGTAATATAATATTTTTATTTTTTTTTAATTATCAATCGAAAATGACATACTCTGGTCATTTAAAATTGTTGAATAATTCGAAAAACTGCTTTCCACATCCGTAGATGTAGTTGGACAAAATTTAAATAAACTTAATTCTGCTGGGGAGAACTTCGCAGATATTCGCTCCTAGTTGCGAAGCCAGTAAATAATACTTCTTTTATATTAGAAATTGTGCTATAATCAGAGTTTCTGTCCAAAATACATTCAAGTGTTTTCGAATGTTAGCATTTCCAAACTGGCCTTATGTAACATTTGTATGCTAAAATAAAAAAATTAAAAAAGTAAAAATTTTAAAAAGGTTTTTCTGTATTTATATAGTAATTAAATGATCCTTTATTCAGTAAAAAAATTACAGCTGTCGGTAGTAGAGATTTAAAGACATTAGTTGTTGTTGTTGTAAAATCATACAAAATTCCCCGAAGAGTTTTTGGGGAGTGTTGCTGGAGTGACAGTCCTTGGCCAGATATAAATCTGGGTGGTCGTTCCGGTTATGTAGACCCGACTGTTTTGGGAACGCAAATATATTAGTAAACATATGCGCGTAACGTTACAAAAAAAAAAACAAGTGGATTTGCGAATTGGGCAGGATTATTTGTATAAATTTTTTTATAGTAATATTTTAAATATTTAAGGTTAAATTTCCAAGGTTTTTAAATATAGAAATCTTTTCTGCTTTTTGTTTCATCAGCTGAACTACATGTCTGACGTGACGTTACGTTACTAAAATGTTCCGTTGAAAAAGTTTTTTTTTAATATTAAACGCCTAAAAATATATTAAGGCGGTTTGCAAAGTACCACCAAAGTCATATTACGAATTTTCGCAGTGTTGGTTTTAAGTTTTCTAAACATCCATTGAATATTTTAAAGTTTACAACAATACGACACTAGGAGCGTTTCTTATCTCCCAGAAATAGTCAGAAAAAGTCCGAAGTAGTCAGATTTAGGCCAAAAAGCGTTCCTTAACTCGGAAATGACAGCAAAAATGAGAGAGCAACACTCGGTGGGAGTGACTCTCATCAGTCCGAAGTAGTCAGAAGAATTTTTTCTGTCAAAATCCTGAAAAGTGTCAAACTCAACTGAATTTAAATTAACGGAAATTAAAGAATACGCAAAAAGTGATAATATTCTAAAAAGTGAATTGAAATTGGAAGGAGGCAAAAAACAATTGATATAGTGAGTGTTTATTGTGCTTGTGCTTGTGTGAATGTGTTTTGTACATACATTTCCAATCTTATTTGACGTTAGTTTTGTTGTTGCCATTCTTTGGACTAAAAATTTGGTTTTTTTTGCGTTCTTTTACTTTTCCTGTTATTCTCTTTTAGTGAGCGCATTTTGCTTACGCTCTGGCATTTTGACACTTTTCAGATTTTAGTCCAAATAGATAAGGAATAAACCTACTTACAACACCGTTCTGAATCCCTCAATTGTTTTTGAACGAATTTTTAGCGCGAAGAAAACGTGCATTTTATGTCGAACATGCTTTTTATTTTGACTCAGCGCCCTTAGCAGTACCATATTTTTTGCAAATCTGCTAAAATGCGCAACAAACCAGCCGCAAAATGTCCAATGCTTTATTATTTAAATAGTTCATATCAGGAGAGTAAATTAATTACAAGTATGTGCATTTTTTTATATGTGAAGCAATATTTATAAAATTTTGTACAAATTCCCCAATAGTCGGGTCACACGGTGACACTCGATTGGTTTGACAGCACTTGCAGCAAAAACTGAAAATTGCTAGTGCAGCACGAGCAAGTCGAAACTATTTCTCGAAAGCGATTTGGGTAATTTCAGTTGCAATAACACCTTCCAGTTTTTATTTCTGAAAGTAATTTCGGCAAATCTGCAAAATGGTCTTTCTGGCTGATTACACAAGAAAGTAGACTTTCGATTTCGCATTTTGACGGCAAAATGCGTAGAAAAAGCGCTGCATTGTCACTTTTAATGGCACCCTTAAGAACTCAAATATGTAGACCGAAAGCACCCATATTAGGTGCGTTCGACAAGTCAAAAATTTGTAATAGTTTTACCAAATTTTTACTGGATGGCGTTCGATAACGACAAAAAATTATCCAACACACAAAAATTGAGAGAGCAAGCGTTCATTTTGATGCAAGAGAAGCGTTCATTTTGTACTGGCAAAATTTTAGTCAGCAAAAATTATCCAACGCGAAAACATATGATCACAAAACATATGATTGCAATTTTTGTAAACAAACAAAATTGCATTTTCCGAGTTTTGGTATTTATATGCTTTTTGGCTGCCTGCTATATGACTTTATGATAGCGCCAACTAGTTTTTACTTCTAGAAATGTTCCTGGCGAACATTGAACGTTCACTTTCCTTTTTTCTTCTATGGAGGCAACATGAATTTAAGTTTGTTTACAAATAAAACATAAACAAAGTCAGCTGGTGTGTGTTCTTATTCCGGTTTTTGCAAGTAATGGCTAATTTCCTGTTCGTTTACTTTTTTGCTTTTTCATCTCTTTGGGAGAGAATTTTCGCTTTATCTCTTAATTTTGATTGTTGGCTAATTTTGTTATCGAACGCAACTATTGACAACAGAGGTGCTTACATATACATACTTATATTTATGCATCGATGATCTTTACGTTACAGTAAAAGGAAAGTTTCATTTGCTCAAGGCTGACCCTTTTCGATATTAAAACTGCATAAATCCAGAGCATACTAATCTTGCAAACTGGGCATCTTTTAAGAACACATTGCAATGCCAAAAATAGAAAAAGGCAAAAGCAGTTTGCATGGGACGAATTTGTGCATAAAAAATGAGGTTGTTCACGCTTGCCAGGTTATCTTGTTAAAAATTATTATTGTGTAGTGTATTTTATTGTAAACTGAATAAAAAAGATAACCACATAATCACCTAACCATATGTATAAGCTGATAACCAGGCAAGCCTGAACAACCTCAATGTTCGTAAAAATGGCCTCAGGCTCAATGCAATTTAGAATATAGTTGTGAAGCGATATTATGTCTTAAAGTTTGCTGCTCTCGATTCTTTATTTCTTTTACAGTTAGCTTTGTGATAGTACGTAAGTATGTATATGTATGCGTGTTGAGTCTTGCGCTTATCAACTGGCTTTGTTTTCCGGTTAAACTGCTTCGTCGAAGTGGCATCTGAATAGCACATCAGCTGAATACCGTCTTATACACTAATGCTTTGTTAGTAGGTGCCGCTCCATCATTAGTGTTTTTCCAAAGCAGTAGGTTATGAATAGCGCGTAGTTGTATTTTTATTTTCAATTTATGTACCCATGTTTTAGATAACGTTTTGTTGTTTCGTAAATATGTATACGATTTTTCTTTTGAAACACGATCTCCAGCACAAATTTACATACCTTTATATTCCTTACTTGTTTGTACCATAGATCTCTTTATATTGTTGCCAAAAACCTGGACGATGAGAAAAAACACATCACCACTATATCACAACTATTCCAACATGAACTGGAGGAGAAACGTGCGCAGCTGGTCCAGCTCTGTAAGAAGATCGTCTTCAAGGACTATCAATCAGTGGGTAAAAAAGCACGTGAAATCATGTGGCGCAAAGGATACTATGAATTCATTGCTTACGTAAAGAAAAATTGGCACAAAGAATTAAAGGACACCACACAGGCGGGAAACCAGGACAATTTGATAAAAGTGGAGCGCTTTCTTTGCGCTGGTATATCAAATTATAAACGCATGGCCGCTAAAATGGAGGAAATCTATGATCTTGATCTGAAATATCTAATTGACTTTAGTATCATTAGTGACGGATACATGCGTGAAATAGAACAGAGTTCGTCACGCGATGGCTGTGGCGGTGGAGACATTAGTGCTGCACAGGCGGTAGATAAAAGTTTGGAAGCGGTCTCTTTTGCTTTGGACACGATACATTCGGCCCTCTTGAGCTTAGGCGATTTGCACCGATATTTTTTGGATTTTCGCATTGATACCCGTCTCAAGGTCACCAAACAACAGGCAGCCAAGTACTATTTCGAAGCGTTTAAATTGAATCCAGCAATTGGAATGTCGCAGAATCAATTGGGTACGCTGTATTATGGCCAGAATCATGACTTGGACTCCATCTATCATTATTTGTACTCATTGGTTAGCATTGTTCCCTTCGAGTTGAGTGAAAACAATGTTTGTAAACTATTTGCCGCTCATGCTGAGTACTTGGAAAAATTGGAGCCAGAAAAGATTGAATTTAGCTTACAAGATTTCTACGCGCGCTTCTATTTGATCGTAGATATATTTTTCTTCGATAAAGAAGTGCCCGATTTTAATTCACTCTGCCACTGCGTACTAGTAGACCTTCGCAAAGTGCTCTGCTCGAAAGCATTCACATTGGAGGAGGGTTGCATTTTCAAGATAGTCTCGATACTCTTCTTTTGCTTATCGAAGCTAAAAATGATTAATTCGCAGAAGGTTTACTCCTTGAATGCTTTTCTTGTGGCCGTGTGTTCCGATTTAATGGACGCATGCATTGTAAATTTGGAACAAAACATTTTAGCAAAATCAACTGAGAATGAGGAATTTCACGGCATGTACGCGGATAAATTTGAGGAGTTTAATATGGTTGTCCGCAAGTCGCGTAACGAATACAAAAATTGGCTTGTTAATATCGGTGAAGCCGATAGAAAAGATAAGAAGTCTGCCGCTAAACCGTCATTAAAAGAATTCTCATCTGATTCACGCGAAAGTCAACGCTCTAATGATGACTATGTTATCAAAACTCAGGACAGTCACAAACATGCTAAAATAGATGGTGGAGCAGATAAAAATGGAGATCCGATATCCACACGTTCGAGCGACGAGGCCAAAGAGAGCGATCTAAAAACTCCACTATCATGCAAAAGCAAGAAGAAAGGAATGAAATTGCGTCGACGTAGGCGCAAGATTGCGCAATCCGATGACAGTTCGTGCTATGACACTGAAAGTGACATGGATACCGATTTTAGTACGGACGATGAGGATTACACTGATCTGAGTTCGAATTTTGATACTGATTTCAGCGATATTGAAGCAGAGCCTGTAGCTGATGAACGGGACGATGCCGATGAAGCAGGTAAGTTTTCTACCATTCATGCATATTAGCAACTGAAACGTAATCGACATATTAATGAATAATACACACTCTTCCAGATTTTGCTAAGCATCCTGCTAAATCTGAGTCGCAGGAGCAAAATGCACCTCGTCTATCTTCTGCACCTTCCAAGGAAAGTCTCACTTCAAACGATGGCGTTGGCCCGACTTTCTCCGACAACGAGGATGTTGTTATCGAGGAAGAGAAAATTATTTATCCCAATGAGCCGTCAGGACAGCTGACGAAACAACGCACTGACTCACAAGAAGTCGACAGCGAGGAATTGCTGCGCAGTTTCGAAGTGTTGCAGCTGAATAGTGGCTCACTTAATTTCAGGAATACAGACAATGAAGAATCACTGCCCCCTGTTGCCGAACACAATGAAAAGCACCAGTATGTGGACGATGGTAATTTGAATCGCGGCGAACCGCCAAAGAAACTAGTTTACCGAAACAAGTACACTAAAATAAATCCAAATATTATTGTTGAATTTGCCCGTCACGAGCCCACTATGCGTGCATTAAAAATTCTTTACGATTGGCTACGCATTAATCATGAAATACTTTTCGGCTGCTATCACTCTAATCCAGAGTTCATTCACAAAATTATGAAATTGCTTAACTACTGCAATATCGATATATTCACTCGGAAAGTGTATTTCGAACGCGAGTTTTTGACGACAGCCAATGTGCGAACCCAACTTGGCGATCTATTTGATGTTCGCGCCAATGTACCATTAGCCGAGGATTTTGTTTTCAAAAATTTCGACATTTTCCAAGGCACTCAACTTACGCTAGATTGGGAGACGACCATACGCGAGCACGTTACACCCGAAGAGGAGTGTATTTTACGTATTTTCAAAATGGTTGATTTTGGATTCTTCATCTGCAAGCAAAAGAAATTTAATTATCGTTTTTGCGTGAAAACACGTCGTTTTACCGAAAATGCCAAGAAAAAACGTGAAGAAAAGAAATCGTCTTCACGCCGTCGTGAGCGACGCACTATGAAAAATGCTACGCGCAAGCGTGCTGAAGGCCGCACCCGTCGCTACTCGGATCGCAAGAATGGCATCGTACGCAAGAGCTATACCAGCAATGAAGAAAAGGACACCGTTGAGGAATGCAAGAAAGTGCCACGCAAAGGCTATTTACGTAATCGCAATATAGAAAAATCGGTGAATAGCGGGAATTCAGGCGGCGCTGGTGGTGGCGGCGGCGGAGGCACATCTGCTTCCACGACCACAAATAGCGCCGTATGTGACAAAGTTTTGATGCAATCGAGTAGCGGTGCTGATGAAGAGCGTTCGGAAGCAATGTCGAAGAAATGTGAAATTATGGGCAAGCTGTGGCTGAAGAATGAGGTCGAAACACTTGAGGAGGAGGTGAGTGCTTTTATGATTTTGTTTTTATGTATTGCTAAAACTACCAATATAAATTCCATTTACACCAACATCGCTGATTCTGAAAATTGAAGTCTTAAAAATTCAACATTTTTCCTCGAATACAACATCCTTTAACATAAATGCGTTATCATTAATTATTTTGCATACTACTTTTAAAACTTCCTCGAATTTTAACCTGAATTGATTTTGATAAATATCTAATTACAGTTACGCAAAAACCCCTTGAATATTATCATGACCCCATTTCTTGTTGTCGATGCCAAGGCTTTGACTGAGTACAATGGCATTGTTAAAAATCTGGTGAAAACTAAAAAATTTATCGTACTCATACCAAACGCAGGTAAAATAAAAAAAAACATCATATTCGCCTATTGTTGACATAAAATCAAAACAAAATTTATTTCCCAAATCAGTCTTGAATGAGTTGGACGATCTGAAGAAGCGCAGCGAAAACGCTCGCAATGTCATACGCTGGTTGGAACAGGAGTTTAAGCATGGAAATCGTCATTTGCGCGCACAGCGTGACAATGAAAATTTGACCCTATCGTTGCTGAAAATTCCCAGGAAGTTAGGTGAGCTTGAATAAAATTATTAGCGAAAATAGTTTGGAAATATTATTTTATGTCCACCGGTCTCCAGATCGCGACGCCGGCGTCTTCCTGCAGATTGCACAATTTTGTAATCATCTCGTTGCCAATCATTCTGATCCCAAATCGACCGAATTCCAAACCAATGTTGTTACCTACTTATCTGGCGATTCACTTTATGAGAAACAGCGTCATCAAACGAATTTCAGTTTCACTGGCATTTTAGATGCCATACCAGTACGTTATGAGCAAATTTCCAATTTCTATGCGAAATTCAAGGCGAACAAAAAATGAACTCATATACGCTGCAGGAGCAACGCCTGCGTGGAGCGTTTTGTGTGAACTCGGGATCATAAAAACAAATGAAGAGATGATGATTACAAAATGAGATGAAGAAAAACAAGAGCTTATGGAGGACGAAAGATCTATGAAAATGAAAAAAAATCTAAAATCAAATTCAAAACCAAAAAAAAAACACCGAAACAATTTCAAAACGTGAATGCTGAGTGCGCGGCGGTGCGGCGTTAACGTCATTAACAACGGCGGTAGTATTAGCACCAGCAGCAGCTGTAGCGGTATCAGCAGCAACAACAAAAAAACAACATCAACAACAATTTCAAAACTAACTGCAAATGCGTAATAGCAGTTTAAGAAAATCCTTGAAAGAAACAACTACAACAAGTTTATTTGAAAACCCACAACAACGATGAAGAGGAGGAAGCTGAAGATGACGATAATGATGGTTACGACCGGCATAGAGGGTGTGCCGTTGATGTTAAAGAATAGGAAGAAATCTAATGTTTCCGCCTGCAGCATCCAACACTGCATTCAAACAAATCATAGTTACATGGGTGGTAGCGATGCTTAAAATACGTATTATTTTCGCCGGTGATAGCAGCGTGTTAGCGATGTGAAACGAGTGTATAACTCAGTGAGTTTGCTTCAATATTGCCAGCCTTATGTTAGGCAGGCAATTTTAATACCAATACTTAAGAGCAGAAAGAAAAAATTATTAAAAAAATAGTATGCAGTATGTACAATCAAATTCCATTGCACGATCTAAAAGGCAGACGCGTTTCTAATATGGCCAATAGAGTTGCAAGTAGGCAAAAATTTTAAATTATTTACAAAACTGTATTTACTTATTGGTCACTTATTTTAGGCCTTTCCAGCGCTTCGTTAATTTAAAATTCTAAAGACCAAATAGTTTGCATTTATCACCTCGTAAAAATACTAAAATAACAGCAATAGCAGAATCCCTAATAAATTCTCGAGTGTGGTTATCCCTATGCCGCCTAGTCCAGTACAGTGCTTCGTTAATTTAAAATTCTAAAGATCAAATAGTTTGCATTTATCACCTCGTAAAAATCCTTAAATAACAGCAATAACAGAATCCCTAACAAATTCTCGAGTGTGGTTATCCCTTTGCCTAGTCCTCATTTCAATAAGAAGCAAGCACTCAGCTCTTAACCAAATACGACACTCGCTTATGCTGCATATTTTATAACGAAAAAATTTAGATGACAATCTATTTCAAAACCATAGTTCTTTTGGCTCGCTGTACATCGCTCGTAAGAATCGTGCTACCGATTGTCAAAGTTTTCGTCACTTGCACAAGTATTTGTGTCACTATGTTAGCACGCACGTTATTGCGTTGGTAGTTTTGTTTGCAACAGTTTCCGATGCTAAAAAACTTCTTTTCGAATATCATCGAGCAAGACACCTATCATTCGCTAATAAAATAACGAAAAAACATCTATGGGGTGGAATGCTTACCGATTTCGTGAGGCGTAATAAAAAGTTTTTGATAATAATTTGAAAATGTGAATGCTGGAACAGGTTTTTTCGATAGCATCTTCGGAAAAAAACAAAGCGTTTCTGTCAAAGCTTTAGACATCCTGCTTGTTTGTACAGCTGCAATTTATCAAGATGCATAAACATTATTTTCCAAGTGTAGCGTAAGTGTGTGCATCAGTACAATACTGAACATGTATTTTGTTATAACATACGACGAGTTGAACACTATATACGTATATATATATGTATAAATGCATTACGTTGTAACGCAATACAAAAGAAAATTACATTGTTTTTAAATGTCGCACCTGTCATGTTGTTTCATGGGCTAAAGGAAAGGTTTATAGAAACTCAAAACTTCGTAGACGTTTTTTCCATGATATTCATAAGCAACCAGAGACAAATAATGACATACATACCTCTTCATGTAATACGGTGGTGAATTTGAATAAAACACTTATGTATTTTCAATTTTCTTTTGTACGACGTCACGCTTTAGATTATTTTAGTAATTCTTATAATTTTCAGTATATGTAGTTACAAGGTATATTTGTACATATCGCTTATTTACTTCAATAGTGTCATACCTCCAAAAAGCAAAACTCGAGATAAACGGCTTTAAAGTCTTGAATTTACATATACTCCCATAGTACATGTGAATACTTATTTTTTTTCAAGTGAGATACTGGTAATCGATACAGCCATTGAAAGTTTTACACAACATATAAAAGAGGTAGCGGTAACTAAATTTTTGTATTTTTTTTTGGTTATGACACTATTGAAGTAAATGAGCGATACGTATCTCTGGTGTCAGGTATAGAAATTATAACTCCATTTTTGCTTTTTTTTAGTTTTTAATTAAAGTAAAATAAATGTGTGCTTAGATGTAAGAAGTAGCACTTGCTATAACATCCCATTTCTATGTACAATAATTCTTGTTTATGAAGTCCAAAAATGTATTCCCCCGGCGTTTATAATTAGGGCTATCACCGAATCCATCGTAGAACGATTTTTCGTGAAACCTACGAAAATGCTACCACTGAATACACAGGTTCGTATCAATTCGGTTTCAGAGATCGCATTTTTGTAGATTTCGCGATATATCGCATTACGATGGGTGCTGTGATAGCCCCCAATGTTTCATCACAAATGCGAATGGCACTTCCTTGAACTAAAGTTATGATTTTCTTACCAGTCACCACAGAAAAAGTTATGTTTTTCCTACCTGACACCACAGCTATGTCAAGCACGCAGATTTTTCGGCAACCGTCATCAAGCAGTTTTTTGCCATTTCACCAAGAATGGCATCTTTTTAAGAGACTACGTTCAGTTCTTAATAAAAAAATTACTACATACTTCATGATTTCAGTCACAAGTAGCCTATATGTTTATCTCTACCATCTGGTTCTTTTTTAACATCACACATTTATCTCTTCTGAAAAAAATTCACTTTGGCCGGATAAAATTCATTTATTTTAAATACATATGTTACTTCAATATTTCCTGTTCACTAGTAGTTTGAAGCGGACATATTTAGTGCCTTTGGAAAAAAAAAACCTTGATCGCTGAATATTGTTCAGTGCAAATAAGCATAATGAAGAGAAATTCCACTTGACGGTTGCCTAAACAGTTTTTGCATGGACACACATAAATATAAATAGCCTCCAGTAATTTATGAAGGTGTGCATTAAAGCATTGAGCGGAAATCAGCGTGGGTTTTGCAAAATTTCACGTTGAAGCTTTCCAAAAAAACATGCAATAAGATTTTTAAATTCGTTGTTTTTCAGCTACCATAAAATAGTTCCCTTTTTGCAGCCTCTCAATATTTAGGATTTTCAAAAGTAATTGCCAACAATGAAAATATAGTAGCGAAATATTTAAATAATTAAACCTCTTCCGCATCACTTCAAATCCGCCTACTGATTTCTGCACACTGCTTTTAATGAAACTTTATTGGTTCAACACAGTTCAGAATAGGTCTGTTAATGTAACATTTAATTTTATTACAAGAAAAAACAGCAACAACAAAGCAGAAATATAAACGTAACCATAACCATATCGGAACCATAATTTCAAACCATAATTATTAGTCATTAACTTATGTTAATCATAATCATAGTCAGCATTAACTTTCTTTTAAAGATACACATTTGCCCTCACCTTCGTTGTTTTGCATTACAAAAGAAAAATCTTGAAATAAGATATAAATTTCCACGAAAGCTCTGCAAGTTGGTGTAGCTGCTTTCACAAAAGCTTTAAAGCTCACCGTCAAACCTTGGCCACTTGTAGGGCGTATCCCTCTAGTGCGCATAACTTGCACCTATACTGATCTTTTCGCTTCAAGTCACTATCGGTTTTATAATTATTATTATATTTATATTAATATCACACAAATTAAGGATTACACTTTATAACTTTGTAGCTTATTCATGAATTACAAATCGGTTCGTATTCCGTTTGTAAACGTGAAAAGCGTTTTCATAATAATATTAAAAAATCTTTAATCCCTTGATTTTTCTCTTTATTGAAATATATATATAAATAATTTTCCCATCTGTCCGCTTAATCACTTTAATATTAATAAAAAAAAAAATAAAAATGCTTGTCGGGCTTAAAAAAACACAAACAAGTACACATGCAGACTAAATATTTGTTAGTTTCTAAATTAGAAATAATTCAATTCTAATTTGTTTTATTTACATACATCTCAATCATATGTTTTATCTTAAAACTTTTAGCTCGTAAAATATTTCGAACAAATTGTACAAATTTTCATTCAATCACCTTCGTTACCTACAATTTTTTATCCAAATTTGTAAAATTTCTAGCACTTGTAAACTAATTTATTACAATAGCAGTTTCAATAAAGCTCGACAGCAAATAAAAAAACACAGCTTATTTTTATTTTAAACTGGGTGAACCCGTTTTTAATTCTCCATGCCACATGAGTAAAGGAAATTTCGTTGCGCAGCTTGGTGACGATTATTAAAGCTGCATAAACTGCATTTTGCAACTGAAGTTAAGGGAACATAAACATTTATTGGACAATCAAATCTAAAACTTTCAAGATTTTGCATTACAGATTATCATTTTGTTGAGCTATCACCCCATAGGACTGGTCATTGGACTGAAGCAGAGGTAAATATCATAATCATTTATCTAAATCACTTACCTTCTTTATGCCAAAATTTTCTTCCCAGGTTATTTGCCACCTTAAGCAAAGAATTTTTCCCTACTTGACCTTCACCTGACCTTGAACCTGACATGATGGGGCTAACAGACGTCGGATTCACATTCAGCCCGTCGAATAACATAGGGATATAGAGGTTTGGCTCAATAAACCTTTTTTTTTTGTAAACTTGTGTAATCGGCCTTAACGGGATTTCCATGTGAACAAATATTCCCAAAAATCATAAAGTAAAACAAAAACAATTTTTTTCGATTTGGTTTTGCTTGTAAATTCTTGTGATCAATTTATTTACATGGAATTGGCAATAGGGCTGAATATTTCATGATTCAAGCTAAAACTTTTCATTTTGTAATCTTTTAGGTGCCTGGATCAAAAGCTGTTCATATATAAACACACCCATTTAGACCAGGTATTGATGAACTAATATCTACAAACTGTGCTGAAAGCACGCTGTAAATGGGGAATTCAATCCACGGCTTCATAAAATGCATTTTGGATGATTATTGGCTACCTACAGCAATATGTCAACAAGGAAATGTCAAATTCTGATCGGATTAACAAATCTAAACTGTATAGATTTTTTCATAGATTACCATTTCGTTGAGCTATTTAATAATTAACAGAATTGGGCTGGACTGAAGGGAAGGTCTGCATGCAAGGTAAATGAGTAGCATTAACATATTTAAATTTTTACACCACTTACCTTGATTAATACATTTTTCCATAAGAAACAACTATACTATTTTAAAATGTAATTAAACAAATTTTATTATGTCATTTTTCAGCCGCCTGCCTCAGCAGTTCTTCATATAACAGCAATTCGTATACCACACATGTTTCAACCTGGTATCAACGAGCATTAAATGCAATTAAATGTATAACTGGGACACAGTAGAAGCAAGAATTGTAAAATATATATCCAAAATCGGACAAACACCTGCTTTTAAATTATGTTCGGTACATTAATATAATAGAGAAATGACTCAAATTTGAATTGCAGATTTCCACTTCCTGGAAGCTATATTTTGTGATCATCTGAATTAGGCAGGATTGATGCGAAGGTAAATATATATGTACATATGTGTTAAAGTGCAGCAATAACCTATATAAACGCCATATACTATTAACTTAATTGATCTTCATAAAATATAATTTTTATCCCGAACTCTATTCTTTTTCTCTTTTCAGGTGTTTGGCTAAATTAGATGAAAATAACCTTGTATATGTAACAGCAAATCGAGTCCAACAGCCTGCGACCATACACATTTCGGTCTGCTTGCAACACCTCGATGTTAACCTGCTTGAAAGGAAAGAAAAAGCTGTATATTCGGTACGTTAATATCATGGAGAAAAAAAAACTAAAAATATCGAAGCAGCACTGGACTACAACGGCGATTGTATTCTTTTCATTGCCTACGGCGCCAGATTTGATTCCAATTTTGGATCGCTGAACTGGAGTGGTTTCGCCAGAATGTTTCATTGCCTACGGCGCCAGATTTGATTCCAATTTTGGATAGCTGAACTGGAGTGGTTTCGCCTTATGTTTCAGAATTCATACATACATTTTAATAATAATGCATAAAATATTTATTTATAAACGACACTTTTATTGTAATTTCACTTCTAATTTTTGTTAAATAAAAAAATGTTTTCTTGTATTTAATTGTTTAATATGAAAAAATTGAGTTGTTTCCACCAATTTCCACCGATTGCTGCCGTCGCGCGAATCGATAAAAAAATTTTTTGCAGCTACTGAGCACAGAAATCGCCGTATTGCACCAGGCGCGCATAACTGAGCAGCCAGGATGCCGCATTTTTGCCTTCCGGCCGGATGTAACCTAAAAGTATGCAACAAATTTTTGGCGCGGCCGGCACAGCATGCACTCTACTTCCGCGGCACGGACACAGGGTGCACCTGGGGCTGGGTGAAAATGATATTAGCTGTGTTTTCTTCGGCAATGATCCGGATCTGTAAAAAAACTTGCACGCAAATCCAGCAACAACAATGTGATTTTGATAAGACATATGGCTCAATTTATGATGCCAACCCCAATAATAATGATCGAGCTGGATAACCCATGAAAACACAACTATTATTTATACAAAGTAATAGCGACAGCACAAAGACAAAAAACTACACTAACAAGTTATACGTACCTTGACAATCAGAATACAAAAAAATTTGCAGCAAACACATCAGCGCTATTTAGGATGTTGTGAAAATGGTCTTGGATTTGCAGTTGGAATTGCATTTGCAAATTTTATGCTTGCTGCCAAGGCAACCGTGTGCATTTTATTGTTGTGAATTTATAAATGCAACGAATATGCAAATGAAAGAGCATATACTCAAGATCCTAGTGTTCACCAATACTATAGGCATATATCGATAGTTTTCCACCTCAAGTCCCGACTATCGACTACCGAGAGTTGAAAAAAGTGAAACCATCTATAGTATCGATAGTGCCATCGATAATTTGACAGCCCTACTGAGATCACTGCATTGCAATTGCTACAGGGTTATGCTCAAACACCTAAATTCATAAAAAATAAAGAAGTTTTTATATGTAAAATGTAACTTTATAAAGCTCTTTAAACCTATTTCATTTTTTTATGAATAAGGCCAATAGCTACATATAAAACATACTTTGACAGAAACAGCAAAAAAAGTTCTAATAAGCGTAGGCCAAGGCGAATTCATATAAGGTGGTATCGATTCATGAACCAGTTAGGACAGATCTGACCGGTTGACAAGCAGCCATTTGCAAAAGCATTTGAGAAAAAAAGTTTGTGACGTTCGCAATTTTGAAGTTTGCTAATTCTGTTTTGATTTTTACAACTCTTTGTTTATGTGTATTTTGGCCGTGGTTAATTTGAGTGATTTAAGCGATTTTCAATATTTTTTTTTTTTAAATACAATTAAAATGAAGTGCGCGATAATCGGTTGCAAAAATATGCGCAAAAATAATAAATTAATAATAACATGCGCTCAAAAATATCTTTAATTTTTTTACTACTTGCCATTGTCAAATTTCAGCTATTATTCCCCAAATGAATTTCCAAAATTATTAGGTTTTCACTCACTCACCAGCGAAATACAAAATTTTACAATCAAACGCTGATGAAACATATAAATTCGCCTTGATGTAGGAGTTATTAACCAAAACGCTTTAAAATATTAAAATATCATATAAACATCGGAATTTTATTAAGTCATTGCATATATTGCCAATTTTGAAGTTTATTTTATTAAGCAAGACAAGGACAAACATAGTTACAATAGCAAACTGTCAAAATATGAAAGCATTGTCAGACTAAACTTAACATTAAATGTTTTACACAATAATGAGGTTTACACATAGTGCTTATAGGAAAAAATATAAAATAATGCAATCATATAATAAAAATGCTACAATCTCTCCCTTTGACGTGTACTCTCTCGAGTGCATGTCAACATCTACTGGTTCCGGGCTTTCTTGCGGCGGCTGCCAAATAGTTTTGCTCTGGCGCTGTTAAAAAATGTTTCGCATATTTGCATTTGTTCTCACTCTAGCTGTTCAACTAGCAGTCTCTTTGGCAGCGCTTTTGGCGCTTTCTCAGTCTCTAGTGAATTCAGCTTCAGCGGTAAAGCAGTAGCGAAGTCAAAATGTTGCGTTGGATCACTTTCAAAATGCCAGTTCCTTTGACCCATGTTGAGGACTATGCCAGCTTGTTCCAGAAAATCGGTACCAATCAAAGTGCGGCTAGTTTTTGCATCAGGAAACACAATAAACTCTGCGTTAAGACTACGGCCACCAATTTTAATTTTGCACACAGTAGACAAACAGTTTTGGATTGACGAGCTCCCATCAGCTAAAGCGAATGCACATCTGGCTTCTCGGTACTTGCATCCTTTTAAATCCATTACCGCTTTTAGATTAGCACTTGCTAAGCTTGCACATGCTCCAGAGTCAAAAAATGCTTGAACGGGCATGTCGAAAATCTGAATTTCAACCACAGGCATATCTCTTCCGATCCCATAGGTAGTCAGCGAGTTGAAATAAACGAAACCATGGGAAGGCTTTTTTACGTTTCGACATGTGGAACAATTTGCGCGAGTAACGCCAGGCGTGTTGCATCCGTAGCAAGCGAATTTAGGCTCAGCAACCACTGCTCGTGCAACTGCCTCAGACTGAGCTGCCGCATCGGCCGTTAGCTTTTTAAAACAGTTTTCTGCCGTGTGGCCCGTCTTGCGACAGAAATTACATCGTGACGCAACTCCGACACTTTCACCCTGTATTGAACTTTCACCATTAGCACTCTTAAGCTCGCTTAAAAAATGTTCAGTTTCCCGAGCTTCATTGAGCAATTCTTCATAGCACGTAACTTTTTCTCGGTCTACTCTTTCCCGGACCTGTGCGTGTAACATTCCAAACAGCATATCTAGTTGCTCTGCTTCGGCAGGAGCTTTCTCCAGCTGCGAAAAAAGCGCTCGCTTCTTCCGAATGAAGGTATCCGTAGGTTCGTTCTTTTGTTGCTTCAGCTCAAAGATCTCAGCATAAATTTTCCATGCAGGTCTTGGGGGTGAAAAACATTTGCGCAGCTTACGTAGCACATCTATAAAATCAGTAACATGATCCTTTATGCCACGCCACCACTCAGCAGCATCACCTTCGAGCAGCGTTGGCATTTCGTTGATTGCGTCGGCATCGCTGATTTTTTCCACAATTTTAAATGTTGAAATTGCGGCAATAAACTCCTCGATTTTAATTGGATTACGCTCGCCATTATAGCGGGCACTGCACGTGGAAAAAAATTCCTACACGGTCGTTGTTAGTGGGTACTGCACGCATCAAACGCTCGAGTTGTTCGTAAGTCAACGATATCGCCATGTTGCTTTGCAGTCTGGAACTTCGCCTCAAAAAAAAATTGCCGACTATGTTGGGCGTCAATTGTAACAAACAACACTTCGTTGTGGTTTTAACGACGTGCCTTTCAAAATTTCACTGTTTTGTTTACCTTTTTGGAGTAAAAATTCAACCAGAAAATACACACAGCTTGTTGTTTTTGATCTAATGCTGCTACCTGTTTAATGTGCATTGACACGTTGCACTTCACGCAAGTCTGCTTACTTCTGATCGCCAGAACACAAATGAACGAGCTTAAGCAAAGTCTCTGCTTTTATAGCGTTTTCTTACAACGTTTGGCAATATGCAAGACAAGGACAAACATAGTTACAATAACAAACTGTCAAAATATGAAAGCATTGCCAGACTAAACTTTACATTAAATGTTTTACACAGTTATGAGGTGTTTACACATAGTGATTATAGAAAAAAATATAAAATAATGCAATCATGTAATAAATCTGCTACAATGTGTTATTTACTTTTGTACCAGCAATTGAGCATTAGGAAAATAATTTTAATTGCATATTTTACTTGTTTATAGCGCATAGTTTTGAATTTCAGAATTCATATTATATGCGAATAATAATAATAATAGATTGGCACTTACATTTATGTTAGTGTTTGGACGAGCTTCTCCTCCGATTTGTGGCGTGCGCCTTGATGTCACAAAAAAGAGACCTAGAGTTTTACGCCGACTCCGAACAGCGATTGTGTTTTTATGAGAAGCTGTTTTTCATGGCAGAAATACACTCGGAGGTTGGCCATTGCCAAGGTCCGCTTGTCTCGTACACCCTCAAAATTTCGAGTTGTTTTGCATTGACGGTGACGATATATGTACATATGTATACATACCAACCGTTCCACAAATTTTAAGCAATTTAAATTTGTTTTATGTTTTCAATATTAAAATAAAACAAAGAAATATTTTAGTATATTTTAATTTGCAGATAAAACAAATCAAATTTATTAGATTTTATACAATACATGAAATAAAATATGTATATGTAGTACGTATAAGTGATTGTTTTTATAAACATGAAGCGTAGTCGTTGGTGAATAAATAGAAAATATAATGCTAAGAAATAGTAGAACAGTGAAGCAAAGCAGGCGTTGCAACAATTCATTGACTAAACGTAATTAATAATCAATAATAAAAATAAAAAAAAATAACAAATTAATAAAAAATAACATTAATGTGCGACACATAAATATATTTATAACGAGCGAAGACGTCAGAATTCAACTTATTTCTCTTTTAATTTATTAAAAATTTTATTTGCCGAACACAATACTTTTAGTTAATGAGATTGCGATTTTAGTGATATTTTTCATACAGGCATACATACATAATTTCGATTTTATAAGTGATTCTGTTGCAGTTAAGAACGACTTCCTTAAAGGAAAAAGAATTGGAAACGAAAATTTTTATTTTTTTTGCTTAATTTTAAATTTAAAAACCTGTCAAAAAACTGAAAAATTTTTCATATTAAGAACAAGCCTTTTTAGAATGCCTTTTCTGCTTTAAAAATGGGATATTTTTTTTCTTATTAAGGCGGATTTTAGGTTCCAATCAATTAACTAGAAAACGACATTAAATACCGAAAGTCAGTTAATTGGTCACTGTGAAAGACGGCTCTTAAAAAATTAAATACGTTTTTTCTACTTAAACAAATGTCATTAAAAATAAATACATAATTTTAACATAAATAAAATTTATAAAAGCGTTTTTTTATTTTTTTATTTTACGCACACATCATTTGCCACTTAAAAACGCCTGCAGTATAACGAACTCATAAAAGTATCGTAAGTATAAATTGAGGTGCAGCAATAGCTATCCATTTAAGGGGTTTATTCTCTTCTTGCTTGACTAAACCAAACATCTAACTTTATTTCTTATACTAAGTATGTTGAATTTTACGTACTCTTGACGAGTATAAAATATTAAAATTAACTGCATAGCTGTATGTTAATAAAGAAACAGGCTCACAAGCTTTCTGTATGCATTTCTTTCAACTTATTTAATTAGACATACTTTTCAATTTACATATGTAATACATTTTGACAGCGGATGTGAGCTTATAAAGTAATTTAATAATTATTAATTGAAAGCTTTCTGAGCACATATGTACATACATACATCGCAAGCTTATGCAAAACTATGTTTGTCTCTATTAAATTAAATTACACACACTTTTTGGTTTTACCTAAACACATAGTTTTAAAATGTGAAATAAAATATGAAAAATATAATTTGCTGCTAATTAAAAATCTTTTAAAAAATCGATTTTGCTGCTCTACTTAGACGACACTTTCTATATGAATGCTACATACAAGTTATTGATAATACTTCCTATCTTAGACAGACGCACACATAAGTATGTATATATGTATCTATATATAACTACAAGTACAACTACGCTCGCATTTTGTGGCCCATTTTGAGCCACTACTGCACTTTCTCCTTCCTATACTCTCGACTGTTGAACAGCTCTTAGACTCTGAACTTAATATAAATCGCAAGCGCACAATTTGCGTTGTTTTTCTACTACCATGCATCAGCTGCTTCCCAATTTATATGACACCCGATACGGTCTTCTCATAGGGCGTGCCAAGTGTATCGCGTCGTCTTGGTAGCGTGCCACTCGCCGTCAGCGGCGCCGACTCTGGACAACCCAAACTTGTCAGCAGCTCTACCAGTGCTGTCGTCTCTTCGACACTATATTGCGGCGCCGGTATGCCCCCATTTGTAGCTGTTGCTGCTCCCGCCGCTGCTGCTCCACTAGTCGCAGCGCTATTTGTCGCATTGCTGGTCGTTGTAGTCGTCGCTGTATTGGATGCGGTTGATGAGCAGGAACTCGTATTGCTTGCGGTGCTAGAATTGGTATTCGTATGGCAGCCATTTGCAGTATTCGCGGCGGCGGCCGCTGCTGCTGCGGCGGCTTTTAACGATTTGGCGGTGGCTAATGATTGTGCGGCGCGCGCATATGCCAGACAGGTGCGACCCTCATGGTCGGTATGCTTGATGTTGGCGCCATTCTATGGGTTTTGAAAGAAAGGAATGAAATGAGTTTCTTTACTGCAAGAAAAAGTGAAAAGTCCCAGGTGACTTACCCAAATCAGCAATTGCGCTATGGCCAAATTTCCTATGGCACAAGCCAGTAACAATGGTGTTCGCACATCACGTGGACTTACATTGGCATTGGTCACTTCACTGTTGGCGGTGGCGAGTATTAGGACAATTGACTTAATGTCCGATCTGAATATTAGGGAGGAAAATTTATGATGGATATATAAATAATTTACATTTCTTAGGTTTTTCTTAATATGTATGATGACGTGATGCGAGCTGGTGATCTGATTTATGGATGCAGTGGTCTTAGTTACGATTTTATGTCAAGACTGTTGCGTTAATTTCAAGTACTGTTAACGTAATTCAGGATATAAGATGGTACGCTTTTGATGTTGCGTCGCTATGGAATGCGTTCCATATAGCACTTAGAGTGTGGGAAAAATTTCACACAGCATGAAAAAGGTACAAATAAATGGGCGTGATCCCTTCGCTTTTTTCTAACCCGAGTTTTTCGAAATTAGTAGCGGGTAAAAAAAAACGGATTTCATTTTTCAAAGTAATCCCTTTAGGATTAAAATTTCAAGAAATTACGACCACTTCTTGAATTTTTCTACATTTGTAAATTTGTGTGTCGATGCTAGTAGCAGCGATGCGGTAATTGGTAAAAGTTTTTAATTAGGCCCAGTCTCCACAGGAAAACACTGATGTCGTGATAACCATGTCACAAAATATATTTCCAATGGAGACCGCCTATTTCTCATGGGCTGCAATGTATGTCAGCGCTTATTGCTTGACATCTATTGCAGGCAATTCGATAGTTTGATAGCCATATTTTTCGATGAAATTTTGATATTAAATCAAAATAAAAATCTGTTCCCTATCGGAGTATTTATGATTACGTATTAGGAAATTATTCAGCAAGTTTTTTAATGATTTAAATGTTTTTAAACACCGAAATTGAGAGAATGTTGTCTGGTGGTGTCATGCGGCAAATGCTCATTTCAAGACATCAAAGTGCCCACACGCAAAAACTTGCAATCATATTGCTCGTCAAAATGACAGTTGGTAGGCCATCGGTGTTTGCCTGTGGAGTGTTGCGGTTAAGAGCGTGTGTGAATCGGTAACAAAGTTCGCGGCGAGTAAATTTTTGACAAGTATGAGGTCAAAGCAACATCGCAAAAAATATAGAAAAAAGTTTTTTTCTTAACAGCGGTCGTCCGTCGGCAGGCAATGGCAAATCTCCGATTGTATTTCTGCCATAAAAAACAGCTTCTCATAAAAATACAATCGCCGTTCGGAGTCGGCGTAAAACTGTAGGTCCCTCCGCTTTGTGTGACAATATCAAGGCGCACGCCACAAGTCGGTGGAGAAGCTCGGCTAAACACTAACATATGTGTAAGCGCCAATCTATTATTATTAAATAATAATAATAAAATTTCAGTAGCTCATGAGGCTAGTGCAATTTTTGATGAATGCATAGAAAAATTTGACAATCGCAAAGAATGTTGATGTGTGTAATTTTTCGTTAAATAAAAGCTTTAATCAAGGCACATTGAACAGATAGTATCAGTAGAGCAGCTGTTTTGATTTCTTTCAAATTATTTGGTCTCAAAAAAATGAAATGTTTTTAATTTATTCTCACAAAAATTCTAAATTGTTAAAATCTATTAGCATGTGAAACCTTTTTCCATACAAAACAAGCGATTGAATAGCAGCTTTTGGAAGTTGCAACCATGGTACAATAAACACAGGTAGAAGCCAAATTGACATCAAACGTACAAAAGTCAAAGTTTTCGGGAGAGTAAAAATAAAAATGAGCGTGTGTAAGGAAAAATAAAAAATTACATTTCGCTGGTTGACGTTTTTGAGTAAATTTGAAGTTTTGTTTTTATTTTTTTTCTTTAGTTAAAATTTGTTAATTTGCATGTTTTTTTCTGTTTTTAATTTATGAGTTGGAGGGACTTTCCGGCATAAGGGTCATAGGAACAGCACTTGGTATCAAAAGTGCCTTTCCTGTACCTCCCGGTGCATTTATGAAATCTGCTGCTTTAAAATGTTTAACGCACAGCAAAGCATTTCGCTGCAGTTGTGCCCCAAAGCTGTTTTCGCAACGCTCTTTACGCGAAGGACATTGAGGCACGTTAAAAACAATTAGTGGTATCTGCTTCATATTTAAAACCACATAAAAAACAACGCTTCAGGTGTTGCATTTTTAACACATACACTAAGTATAAACCGCACAACACTACTCAAATTCACATGTTAATCAAAATTTGTTATTAACGAACATTAAAAAAAACAACGATATGACATTCAAAGCGTAACGAAATATAGGAAATAAAAGAAAAACAAGTTGAAGTTTAAAGGTTTGGTTCTCATGAGAGCAACGTCATTTTGGCTTCTACCAGTATTAATGTGCCTTGCGATTGAATAGCAGCTTTTGGAAGTTGCAACAATTTTTATTTTTTTTTCCATTCCATGGCACGATTTGATTTAGAAGAAATAAATAAGAACAGTTTTTGACACTTTCGATACCAGAAGCAACAACAAAATACGCGCATATGTTGTTTTTGCTCTAATGCTACTACCTGTTTGATATGCCTTGGCTTCAATTGATGAATTGCAATCAATAATGATAGATGTTTTCTTAAAATATTAATTTCATTTCAATTTGTAATATGTTATTCCGCATAAATCTGCGGTTATCAAAAATGTACTGCTGTCAAAAAATATTTCATTTTACACAACTGGCAAAACTGTCTCACCATAGCAAAAATATTATTCACCAGCTTTCCCCATAGAATTTTGTTACCGATTCACACATGCCTTAAGTAAAAATATTTCCTGTCAAATTGAGAGATATAGCATGATACTGTTTTTTAACCTGTGTGGAATTTTATCCAGGTACAAATAAGCATTTGACGTGGTATCAAAAGATATGCTGGTGATGTCACGTTTATTTCAAGCACACGTATCTCTGTATGTATATATTGTATAAGTTGTCAATTTGATTCGTTATCGAAAATTTTTATTACGGATGTCGAATCGATATCAATTATTGTTATCATAAAGTACTAAGTACGTCTCCGACGCCGCATCGCTGTGATATGATATGTTATTGACATGATATCACATAATGTAATGTATTGATACATGTAATTCTACGCTGAAAATTTAATCACGTGACTCAATAATCTTGAGTGCATATCGTATGATATGATGATGTTGTCGCAGCGCATTCTTCTATGGTTATTGAAAATGTTCATCACATGATGTGTTATTGATTTCGCATCGATTTTGACTATAGTTACCGTGCTTGCCACTCAGAATGTAAGTAGTCTGCGGCGTAATATGATATGTATGTCTCGTTATTGATGACACGTACCGATTTTCTCTAACGGGCGCGTGATTTTTTACTCAAAACTTTAATTACATGACCTATTGTTATCTGACACTTTGATAATGATGTCGCATCGGTTTCATGTATCAATTTTAACTAATGTTGGCTTGACTTGCCATTGAATATTTTATTCATTTTATGATACCAGATGATATTATAGCATAATTAGGGCATCGCATAGGCGTGATATAGACGTTGATTTTATGTCATAGTATTAACTTCCAAAAGGAGTTCGTTGGAATATTTTTTTTTTTATGTATGTTACCGCATAACTTTGGACTACGGCAACCGATTTCGATAATTCTTTTCGTATGGTCGCATACTAATCTGGTTTAGATCCGATCTTGGATCATGCAAAAATTAACGGTACTCCCAAATTTTTATATGAGAATTGAAGTCGGTTTTGTTTTTTTGCTCAAAAATTACTTGTGTTATGTCAAATCTTCTGACGTCCACCGCGAACATGTAAGAATACGTTAAAAACTTATATTAGAACCTGGAATTGTATAAAACTAGGTTCTGATTTTTGATCTTTACTGTGATTTTACTGTTATTTCTGAAATTGACTTTAGCCTTTGAAACCTATAGTAACTTTTGATTTCATGGCACATACACTTGTGGTCAGCTGATTAAGTCAAGTGATATTTTGACTAGTTTTGGCTATATTTCTTTTGTTTATTTAGTGTTTATATTCTTATACATATATGTATAAAGTTTAGCACCTCACCTAATCAACGCCATATAAATCCACATTTCAGATTTCGTAAAAAAATATATACATTCAATAAACAAAAGAAAAATAGCCAAAACTAGTCAAAATGTCACTTGACTTAATCAGCTGACCACAAGGGTACATACATATGTATATATACATATGTATACACTGAGGTGCATAACTATAGATGCATTTATTTTCTGTGGCGTGTTAAAGAAATTTAGGAAAAAATCGGTAATGCCGGGTTGACGGTCTCTGACATTTATTACCTCAAAGGATCACATCTCTTTTTTTAACCCTTTGAATAACAAAGTGCAACCAAAAATGTTATTTTTTATTGGTGCATAACTATAGATGCACATTAACTGCTTTATTTAAGTAATAATTGATAATTGAGCGTGAACAGAACCTCATTTAAATTTAATTAGTTAAAAAATCTTACTCTTGTTCTGTATACTAGGTTTGAACGCACAGGACTTCCCAATCCAAAATGGTAGGGGATAAGTTTTAAATTCTGCGGCATCCTGTGCTGGTTCAATTGGGTACTTGATACCGTTGGTTATTACGTTAATTGTTTCAGTAGGCTTCGAATATATTCATCTCTACTAAGTTGCATCTTTGATCATGAAAATATTATCCGGAGAGTTTCTTTACGTTCAGAAACTGTGATAAATGCAAAATGTATATGTAATTTCTTGTACTACGACTCTCATTACTACTAATATATATGATGCTTTTAATGTATTTTTTACACAACCCCGTTCTCAGGGTAAACTGATTGCCTTCTGGCCCAGCACTTGCTGGCTCTTTGACTGCTTTAAGAGCCAAAAATCTGCCCATCCCTTTTCTACAGAGTAGATTATGTGTAACTCCTTCCGATTTTTTTAATGAAGTTTTCAAGGAGTTCCTTAGAATTGCAAAAAATCTGCGTTAATCTGCGTATGTGGGGATATAACTTTCTCCTTTTGTTACTTTGGTCGGTCAATAATAGCCTAAATTTTTCAAAAAACCTCGCACTTATTTGTCCAATTGCGCCAATCTTCGAATTTGTCGTGAATTTCGGTGTTATGTTCGCGAGACGTTAAACTTTACCCTTTATCAGTGTCTGATCCCTGCCTACCGAATAACATTGTGAAATAAACGAATGAAATGTCCAAAATCAATAGTTATCTTATAATCAAAATGGTTAACAAGCTTGACATGCACGCTTAAAAATAATGCGTCCATAGTTATGCACCAGTAAAAACTAACATGTTTGCACTTTGTTATTCAAAGGCTTTAAAAAATAGATTTGGTCCTTCGAGTTGATGAACGTAAAGGGCCGTTAACCTGGCATCACCGATTTTTTCCTAAATTTCTTTAAGTTGACGCAAACTCCAAAAAATTAATGCGTCTACAGTTATGCTTCTCAGTGTATACTATATTTCGGCAGCATTAATGCAAAAAGGTCCTTTTCGTCAAATGTGAAATTTAATAGGTGAAGTGAAAAAACGTTTTAAATTTAAATAGGAAATGCTTTCAGAGCCGTTCTAAAGATGCCAATAAATCTGCGCCTGGTTTAATATATGGTATTGAATTTTGATATGGAGAAGTGTCTGAGAGCCAGTTAGGGAATATTAAAAAAGCGAATTTCTAATGCATCGATATACCCTTCATAATGGTAAGATGACATTTATGCAGTGACAACTAAGTCAAAGGCGATTTCTGTGACAATTGTACATAGAGGGTATAATCGAAGCCCTCGATGTGTAAGTCAGGGAGGTACTTTATATCCGTATTTTGTATCGTTTTTGTCTATTATAAAATTATGTTCAGGTGTGGTGAATTAGGTAATTTATTCATGGAAGGGATGTGATGTTATGCCACGTAATTTAGCATAGCGATTCTTAAAAGCAGGGATGTCCAGCCATACTGTTTAGTTTTGGTGGTTCGTTTTGTTGAACAGTAAATAAAATGCATTGGAATCAAAGGAGAAAATGTTGCCTCAAATTTAAGTTATACCTCTGTAGCTGCCAAACCGATAATAAATTATGGCTATAGGCTGCGCATCCCTGCTTTTAAATCGTCTATACAGGTTCGATTAATGTGATGATTCTTAGAAAAAGGCCGAATTATCTTTTAATAAATATATATTTTTTTTCTCTCTTTAACTTACCTGATCACCGCCTCAATTAATTGCTGTCCCGGCGTCGTATTTGTATTCGCATTGCACTGTGCTAGAAACTCTTTAGCCTCATATTTGCTGCGTATCCACGCTTCCTTTTCTTCGCGTGTAGAATTATGCTTTGGTTTGCTGCGTTGGCGTGTGTTTGCTTCCCACACTGAATTGGCTAGACTATTGCCTATAGCTAGCATTACACTAAGGTGACCGGCACTGCAAACCGAACAAATAGGCATATACATAAGTCACTCACACTTTGACTAGTTAGACAAAAAAAAAAACACTTACGGCCAATCATCTAAGCCCAGCGAACGCACTTTGGAAATGTGTGAACCCAAGTTGCGATGAATGCCAGAACATTCGATGCACATTAGCACACCCAGATTTAGACTAGCCCATTCAGGATCTGCAATAATATAAAGTTAAGTGTAAGCGAACATTTCGAACACTTCTAACCAAATACCGTTTTTTAGGAATCTACTTACTCGGCGCATCGCAGTCGACACAATAGCCATTGCCTGGCACGCGCGTACGTATCGCAACCATTGAGGCCAGCTCGCTTGTGGTCGCCGGTTTAGTTTTCGTACTTTCAATTCCCTGAAGACTCTTGAAGATCTCCTGCTCGATAGCAGCTACCCAGTCGTCACGATCCTCAGAGCTTGCTGCCTCAAAGTGCCACTGTTTCGAATCCAAAGATACAATGAAAAATTCATAAATATCTGAATCGTCTACTTCATTCGATTTCACACTGCTGCTCTTCATGCGACGATGACGTTTCTTGACATTTGGTGTCTGAGATTCTAATTTGTTGGCAGCATTAACGGCGAGTAATTCACGTTGTTGCTGCTGCAAATGTTGCTGGCTATCACTGCCAGCGATAAATGTCTGTGAATTGGAGTTGGACATGGCGATGCCCTCATCGCCACTGGTCTGCTGCGAAGAGTTCGATTTGACTGGCTCGCGTAGCGTATCGAAGGCTGTGAGCAGTACTTTTTCCGTTAGCTTCTTCTCCTTGTTATCTTTGACAATCGATAGACAACCAATGCCTTCGCTTAGTCCATTTTGCCCATGACTACGACCATTCGCATGCATTGATGTTGTAAGCGCGCTATTGGTGATGATCGATTTAGAACCGCGCGGTTTTTGACCCGGCACCTTCACAGTTACATATTGCAGTGGTATTTCCTTGCCATGCACATCGTCCATATAATCGTGTAGCGACGGGTGATATGTGAGCCGACCGTCGTCGCAGAGCGTTACATATTTCTTTTTCCACTCCTTGTTCAGCGATTTGCTGGAGCGTTTGTACAGGTAACCCTGTTTGATTGGTATGGATCGTCCGCTACCCAATTCGCCATTCTTCAAATCTTTCTCGCCCTTCTTCGAGGAGGAGGGTATGAAGAGATTTGAACGCCGTCGACTTTTGCGACTTGTAGTGGGCGTAGATGTGGGTGTCGGCAGATCCTTACCACCACCACCACCACCGCCGCCGCCGCTGCCACCACCACCACCACCACTACTGCCATTATCCTTATTCTCACGCAGTGGCACCAAACTTAATGGCGGCAAACTTTCAGCTGCTTGGTGATGTGATTGTTGCTGAGAATGCTGTTGTTGTTGCTGCTGATGTGTTGGTGTAAATTTGGTTATATTGTTGTTCTCGTTTGTGTGCACTGAAAGCTCACGATCACGTTGTTGCTGCTCCTTTTGCTGTTGTTGCTGCCACGCTTTCTGATTAGGTGGCAAGCTGTGCTGTTGCTGCTCGCTATGCACAAAATCGGCGCTCATGCGCATTGGTATGTGATGTGACGAAGTGGACAGCGCGTGATGGCGGTGCGGCAGCGTTAGATTGCTGGTGGAGACGGCGCCTTGCACCGATGAGGTGGAGGCCGAGAAGCCATTCGCATTGACGCCGCCATGATTAGTCGAGTTATGATGATAGGAAGCGATGCCGAGGCGTGTACCCTGCGGCGTTGTGGGTCGGGAATTTACGGTGGGGGGTAGGGGAATGCGCTGCTGGAGGATCTTTTGACAAGCTGTCGAGTAGGGAAAATTAGTTAATGAACATTTGGAGAATAGTTAATGCAATCGATAGAAGTTAGAATGTAAAAAAGCAAAATACTTATTTGAAGAAAATTTCGTCTATGAAAAGATTTCAAATTCTGATTTAAATACTTGAGTTGGAATCAAGAGCTTACCATCTTGAAAAACACGTTCTACATTAAGACCATACGTCGCACACGTTTCATAGTATGAACAACGTTTCAGATCATTTGCTAATTTTCTCGCGCGCGAATCATCGATCACACGTGGATTGCGCTCACTAATGGCATCTAAAATGGCAAAAAGAGTATGCAATATAGTACATATATTTTAATATATCGCTAGCTTAGAATAAAAAGTTGCTAAGTCAAAAATAGTCACAGAAAATGTTATAAGTCCCAAAGAATACAATAACTTCTCAACAAAGTTGTGGAATTTGATAGGTTTGGAGAAGTTTAAGCTTGGAATATGCGAATTTTGTATGCAAAATAAGTGCTTCAAGAAACTGGATTGGAAAGGTTTTTATTTTCTCCTGTTAAATTTAAATAACTGCACATAACTTAAAGCGACATTATACTACAAATATATAACACTGAATGTGCTTGATACCAAGTAGAAATGACTAGCTAAAAACTACTTATTTTCAATACCAGCAGAATAAGTTTGGACGGGTTTAAAAAAAATATATACAGTCTTGTAAGATGTAAGAGTTTTATGGACTACACACCAAGGACCAAGGATCGATCTATCTTGGCAGACCATTCGAAAACGCCCTACCTCAGAAAATGGCTCAAGAACGCACTACTCCCGAATTTGGCTAAAGAACGCCCTATCTCAGAAAATGGCTCAAGAACGCACTACTCCCGAATTTGGCTAAAGAACGCCCTATCTCAGAATTTTGTTTGAAGAACGCCCTATCTTAACAAATGGTTCAAAAACGCCTAATCTCATCTGCCGATATATTGAATTTACATTGAGATAGGACGTTCTTGAACCATTTGCTGAGTTGGAGTGTTCTGGTGTTCTTTAATCAAATTCTGAGAAAGGGCGTTCTCCAACAAACCTCTGAGATAGGGTGTTCTTGAAAAATTTGCCGTTTTCGAACCAGCTGCCGAGATAGGCCGATCTTCCACTCAGCCATTGATATAAGCTTAAATATTATTTCGCATTTATTTATGACAACATTTGCCGAAAACTTGGTGTATAATATAACCCAGTAAGCCTCAGGCTCAATGACGTGTAAATATCTCCATATTTTTTTTTTTTTTTATAACAACAAATGTGCCATGAAAGTAATGACAATGGCATTGGCCTTAAATTTGGTTTTGGTATTAATATTGATATTGCTATCGGTTATGATACTGATTAAGTGATTGACTGAGCATTGATATTAATATTGATTAAGTCGTATTGGTATGACGTATTTTACACGGTCCAAGTAGGTGAATTCAATTCTGCTTGCATGTGGAAGAAAGGGCGGGAAAAGTAAAGGCAAGAGTGCACATACATACGTCCGTACCGTCAATTCTGTTGATTTTTGAGATTTCTTTTGTTGAAGGTGTTTCGCACGAGTTTTCGACTTCCATGGAAGTTATGTCATGATCTTCGTGGAAATTAAGTCTGAAATAACTTCGACGGGCCCATGGAAGTTATCAGCTTTACAATGACATGGACATAGTGCAGCGAATTAAAATACAGCGGCTCCGCTGGCTTGGCTATGTCGTTCGAATGGACATCGACGTTACAGCTCTCAAAAGTATTCAACGCGGTACCCGCTGGTGGTAGCAGAGGAAAAGCTCCCACTGCAATGGAAAGACCAAGTGGAAAAGGATTTGGCTTCACTTGGCATTTCCAATTGGCGTCAGTTGGCACAGAAGAGAAACGAACGGCGTGCTTTGTTGAATTCAGCCAAAATCGCTTAGGCGGTAACAGCGCCTAATAAGAAGAAATTTCTAAGTTTTTCCATTCAAAGTATTTTCGACATTTTTTTTTCATGAAAAAAATTCCCAAAAATCAACGGTAAGCCCCAGCTACTTTAAACTTGCACTTTATTGTACTAAAATTGAATGGGCTACAAAACTGTATACTCGAAAGAAATCTGTTTAAAATGTCTCAAATTTATATGCAAATTTATTGAATTTTTATGAGTTTTGCAAATATTTTAGAAATTATACTTTTATGTTTTTTTTTTTTTTTTGTAGTATGAACCATATTTTTATAAAAAATAAGCGGAAAGAAATGATATAAAAATTGTTGCATTCATTGTCAAAAACTCTCTGTGCCAATGCTTTTTTCCGGCAGTGTATACTAGAGGTATACGCCGCCGGGCCACGCCGCCGCCGCCGCCGTTTTTTGTCATTTCTCACGCGCCGCCGCCGAGTTACGAAAATATCGGCGCGGCGGCGGCGGCGGCGGCGTTCGGCGCCTAGGGAATTTTGTACAAAATTTTCATGTTGCATGCACATTGAAATACATCGTTTGAAGGAACTAAATACTACTCGTATAAAAGCACTATTTTACGAAATGAAAATTACATTTTTAAAAGAAGTTTTTTTGGCATAATTTGGGCCACTGAACATTTAAAAAAAAAGCGTAACTCAGAAAAATATATAGGTAATATGTTTTTCGATCGACAGCGTTTATTACAGTTAAATTAGGGTCGAATAGGGTAGAAAAGTTTTTTTCCTAAGTAGTGGTCAAACCCCAGGAAGGTTTTGCTCCCGCGCATCGCAATATTTTCTACACAGAGTTGAAGTCCCCCTTTTTGGTAAAAATTACTATTATTTTGCATTACATTCTGTTCTCCTTAGAAAAATTTGGCACTTAATATATTATTGGAAATTTAACTATTTATAAGCCATATAAACAGTGGGTCAAAAAGGCCCGTTGTGGTGGGAGTTGATGGGTTAAACTTTTGGAAAAAAGTAGGCCAACCTTATTTTCAATATATAACCCGCAAAAAATCGTAAGAACTCCGTAATTTAACATAACGGTTGAAAGCTTATTGCAAAACTTTATTGATAGCGACATAAATTACCCCAATAACTTAACCTTTAAATTTTTTTATTTCTTTAAATTGAAATAGTACATACGCATTTTTAGAGTACATAGAGATGTATGTATATTAGGGTGCCCATCGAAAATCGTTTTTTTGTACCTTAGTACTACATATTTTCAAATTGTGGAAATTATCGATGGTCAAAATTTAAAAAATTCATTGAAATTCAAGCAAAAATAGTCTCTCAAAAACTCATGAATCTAGAAAATCGTATTTTCTGACCTAAATCGACAGGCCGCGACCTCTAAATGGCCTTTAAAAAATCTATAAAAATAGGCAATAATATTTCTCATAAAAACGAATCAAATTAGGGGGTAGGGTCTTTAAATTTTCAAAAAAAAATCATTTTCAATGGGAAACCTAATGTATGTATATACTATATAGACTTTCTTCTGTTCGCCCATCCATCAGCAGCAGTCACTCAACATTTGAATTCAATGAATGAATTAAATAGAATTATAATCTGATGACATGATGAGATTAGAAGCCTCATGGCTCTTTGGACTCTACCTTATGGGCAGTAGCGCCGGCGTTACCAGACGCGCCGGCGTCGCCGCCGCCGCCGATTCTTTTTGAAGTTGAACACGCCGCCGCCGCAAAGCCTGTCGGCGTAAACCTCTAGGGTATACATGGGCAAATATCACGAGTTGTTTTTTTAGTGTCACTTTCTTCTCTCGCCAGAGAAAAAAAACGCTTAAAAATAAATCAAGCATTTGAACAATTTTAGCCTTAAAACGTTTATTTAGGCGAAAAAGTACCGAAATTACAAATTTTTTATTGTCACTCGAAAAAGTCACACTTGTTTTTTTTTGTTAATAACTTTGGGCAGTTTTCAAATATAATGTTCATATTAGAGACAAATACAACATATCTGTGAAGTGTGCAACCTAATTAAAAAAATTTTGCAGCATGCTGAATATATCATTTTTGAAATTTTACGCCCCCAAAATGTTAAAATTAAACGGCGAAAGTGTCCTTCTTGCCAAAACGAATGAATCTAGTGTAATAAAACTAATGTGTCACCAAATGAAAAATTACATTAAGTAAAAAATTACTATTTATGATTTTAGAAACTAAAATTCCATTAAAAGTAATACATCGTGCGACAAAAACCAAAAAAAAAAAAATGGAAACACATGAAGCAATTAATATATTCACAAAACTGTGGGCCAAATATAGTGAAACTGCGTTTTTAGTTTTTCTCTTTGACGTCAGGATTTTTTAAGGACTTTGTAGTTTCGAAGATATGATTAATTCCAAAAATTATTAAAAAAATTCATTCCAATGTAGAAAAACAGTATGGGCACCAAATGAAAGAGAAAATTCTGTAGAATTAAAATAAATTAAAATTTTTTGGTTCACAAGGACGAATAGGTATTGAAAATGTCCTCTTAATTAGTTTTATGTTTTTAAGCGTATAAAGTTAGAAGGACGAAATTCGAGGATGTGGTCGAGTGAATATTAGTCCTTAACATATAATTTTTCAGAAAATAATTGTTGTAAAATTTAAAGGATATTCAATGATAAAATGTGAAAAGGACATTTTTGATGCCTAATCGTCCTTATGCACCAAAAAATTTAATCGGCCTTAATTCTACAGAATTTTCTCTTCAATTTGATAGTAATACTGTTTTTCTACATTGCACTGCATTTTTTTTTAAATAATTTTTTGAAGTATGTTATTATAGCTTTCAAATTTCAAAGTCCTTCATAAAAAAATCCTGACGTCAGAGAGAAAAACTAAAAACGCAGTTTTACTATATTCGATGTTATTAGTTATTATAATTTTTATTTTTATTTTCGAAACAAAATCACATGCAATTTTATTATTTACTTAAAACAGAACGCATTTTAATGCTAATAAAGCTCTTTTCAAATATATAAATCAATTTAAGATCAATGAAGTAATTGTCGAGGCAGTCATTTCAAGGGGTGAATGTCAAGCATAAATACTTACATAAGCGTTAAAAATCAAAACACTTACCTTGAGTGCCAACTAAAATCATTGGTAAATCCTGACCATTGCGAAAATGCGCCATTTTATTGTAGTAGTTGTAGATTGTATTGAAGCTGCTTTCGTTCTCAAGACTAAAGACAAAAATTACGGCATCAACCCAAGCGGCAAACTGTAAGTTAGCAGAAAACAGGGTTGAATACAATAAGTAAATAATGCATTGTTAAGAAAATAATGAAAATTTGTGTTATATTAGCGAACAAAAAATATACATATTCAAGAAAATAAAACAATACATTGAAATAAGTATGTACATACATATGTACATATACGCATGTACGCTTTCAATTTGAAAAAAAAAACTTCGCAGTTCGACTTCGCATTTGGAAATAAAAACGTTTGCCGCGAAATGTTGTAAAGAGGCAATAAATAAAAACAAAAAAAAAAGTTTTCAAACCAAACGAGGAAAACAATGGTGCACTTAAAAAACGCATATATGTACATACATATGTAAGTAAGTATACTAAAGAATTTGCTGCCAAAACGCGCAAAATACTTGCAAATATGCAAGCCCTTGACTTTGCTATGCCTTAAGTAAAGGTTAAGTAACCAAGGTACCAGCCAGCTATAACAAAACAAATAACATATACTATACTAAAATGTGCATACATACAAATGTACATTAGGCCATACAAGAATAAAAGTTTGCTTTCGAATCTAAAATATTTTTGCAAGGCAAATGCGAAATTTCTTTTTGGCTGAACGCCTTTTTAAATTTCATCGGCATTAACAGTCTGCTCTTAAAGTATGATATATATCAATGATCCTGTATCGAGAGGACAATTTTTATTTTGTTGCAAAGTTCATTAACCTCAAGCGCCCACCAGATCTCAGTTCTTACCACACCTACGTACTACCCTAATTAAAGCTCGCAAAAATCATTAAACTTTTGCTATGGATGTATTTATTTCGTTTATTCCAGTAGAACCATTTAAAAAAATTGTTTATTGTCGAATGTAGGTGTCACCGCAAAATGTAAAAAAGCGACCACCAGGCTTAGGAAAATAAAACGAAATTGCCTTGCCAAAATCCTTCAGTTTCAGAGGTGTACGGCGAACTTTTTTGTTTGCTTGTAACGTGGTACGGTCTAATGCACATACTGTACATACTAATGTCTGTAAGTCAATAAAATACAAGTAAAGAATAGGTGTATATTTGTATGTGCATGAATTTAGAAGTGTTGACGGGCGACTATGTAGTGCTCGAACAAACAAAAGCTTTGAAAGTAGGCGGAAAGGCATAAAGAAGTGTATAAAAAAAACACTAAAAATGTGGTCTGAATTCGAAAAAGGGACATTTACGGTAGCAATACTCGGGCCGAAGTGTTTTCAGCATGAAATGCAATTTCTTTAAGCTTTAAATTTGTTTTCAGCTGTGTGTGTGTATGTTCGCTTGCAAAGTGCACTCACACAGGCTTGAAAAATAATATGGCGCGCATTAGAATTGCATGCAAAATGAATAAATTGGAGGTAAGAGCAATGTAGCGTGGTTTTAGGGGCAAGCCGCAGCTACGTGCTTACATACATACATACACGTATGCAAGCTGGAGCAATTGGCTTTAAAGTAAGTAATTTAGATGCTTGTTTATGTCCGATTTGGTTAGCGAATGATCAAAAAACAAAAAGAATTTAAATTTCTCTAGTTTTATGATAAAATAAAAGTTTCAAAGTAGAATAACCAACGGCCAACCAGCAAAGAAGTCAAGGCACAGGATAATGAACTTTTCAAAAAAATCTCTAGAAAAACCCATACGTATACATATGTATAGCGTATGTACTTAGGCAAGAAAAGTGCACATTTGCGTGTGGATATATGTATGTATATGTATGTACATTAGGACGGGTAAATTCTCTTTGACTCTGCGCGTATGACATAAAAGGATTCTACGCGAAACTCTAAGCAAATTTGCCGAAGAAACTATAGGTCTAAAATCAATTTGGAGTTTGTCAAATTGCGAAAGTATGTTTCGGAGAAAATATGAAATTTTTCGCTGTTGCGCCCTCTGGTAGAAGTTTTAGGAAAAATAAAAGTACAGAAATGGATTCCTCATACCAAAAAACCCCTTATAGCATGTTTTTATATACAATTTAAGCACTTCTTTACGAAACCACAGCAAAATGCTAAGAAACTTATTTTCGCAATTTGCCAAACTCCAATTGATTATAGACCCATGGCTTCTTCGGAAAATTTGCTTAGAATTATACGTAGAATCCTTCTGTGCTATACGCGCTTCGTCGAAAAAATCTTCCATACAAATTGACCTCTCCTAATGTACATACATACATAAATACATCATGTAAGTTTGTATCTTTACTTCTGTCTGACTGCACATTGCGCCTTGCATGCAGAGCACGTATGCACATTAGGGTGAGCTTTAACCAAACATTTTTAATTTGGAATTTCTAACAGCGGGGGATCTTTGCCTTGGCGTCCTGAACAATTTTTCTAAATCGCTTAATAAATTCTGGATTCTGCTTTTGATTGAAATTTTGAGATTTTTGTAAATTCTAAACAAATAACATGATTTACTCATACCAAAATCATTTATAGAAAATTTTAGGTATGAAATTTTCTAGGTCATTAAATTTTATATAGACCAAATTCTTTAACAACATGAAAAAAGTAGCCAAAAATCAATAGTGTTTCGTAGCCAGTTTAAGTTTGTATTTTATTACACTAAATTCAACGGGCTACAAAACTGCATACCTCGAAATGATTTTGATAGATAACTTAGAATATAGATAGATTTAAGAAAAATTCGGGGTATTCCATTGACGTCCAAAGGCAACGATCCCCCGCTATTGTCATTTAGAAACGCCAAACTTTTTGTTTCCGATTCACCCTAATGTGCATGCATAGATACTACATATTTTGTATGTTTATCTGAAGTTGTTAGTGCTATTTATTGCAACAGTAGATTTTGTTGCTGTTGAATCTGAAGCTGCTGCCCGTGGCAGTTGGGGCGGCGTGAATGCTGCTGCACACTGCGCAGGATTATAAAATATTATCAGCCTCAGAATGCAAGTCGCTTCAAAGGTGTGTGTGCGCTAAAAAAGGTGGCAAATTCAGCCTGCAACCTGTGTATACAGTGTTTTTTTTCGAAGAGGTTGTGAGGGTGTACTTTGGAGAGTTTCAAGGCACAGCCGGAGTAACAAAAACTTTCTCTCTGAGCGCAATGCTAAATTAAATAATTTACTTATACATATAAACAATAGACATATACATACATATGCAAAGTTGTATATATGTATGTATGTATACAGATTGCTTCGGGAAGCTACTCTAGCGACAGAATAGCGTCGATTTTCCAAAACTTTAAGCTATTTTTGCTCACATAACAATATTTGCTTACCAGTTTTCAAACAACAAAATGCCGAAAATTTCGTGAATATTCAGTTTTGTTAATCTCTAGTATGATTTAAGCGGTTTGGCGCCTTCAAGTATGCCTTTGACAATTAAAAACTGTATTTTTTCACAACTTCACACACTAAGCTCGAAATTTGCTGCCGTCTTTCTCGCCAGCTAACACAACACTAACTTGCCAACCAGCCAGCGAACCAGGAAGGCAGTGAAGCAGTCAGCCGGCAACAGGAATCACATTCGAAGCGAATAAGGTTGTTCATGTACACATACAACAGAGTTGTGGAAAAGCTTCAGCGCCAACGCCATGTATATGTATGTATGTATTTGTGTACGATTGTGATTTTCTATTGCTGTTGTTTTTATTGTTATTGTGTGCATTTGTATTCAAATAAAATAGGAAAAATTGCTAGCGCAGCAAAGTTGTGAATATTGACGATAGGCGAGTAGGAAGGTGTGGGGTGTGGGGTGTGGGGTGTGGGGTGAGCGATGTGCTGATGTTGCCGGGGAAAATCCATTTTTTGTTTATGCCGAAATGCTAGACATCGGCGACGGCTACAAATATGAATGGTTATGTTGGCGACGGCGTTAAGAAACAAGCATGATAAAGTGGCAGGAGTTGTTGGTGGTGGCATACATACATATACATATGTACATACATGCAAACATACAATGTTGGCAGACAATTACTTGGCGCTGGGAGTTGTGAAGGTGGTGGTGGCGGTGGCTGGCGTCGGTTCTAGTTATGGGTTTCTGTGGATGGTAATGATGTCCTCGAGCGACGCACTGGCGACACAGCAAATGACTGATGACTACATATCCTTGCGTGTAGCGGCGCATACATACATACATATGTACACACATATATACATGGGCATAAAATGTTGGCATGAAATATATTTTTTATTTTATTTGAATTTTTGCTTTCGGCTGTTGTTTGTTACAACGTCAAAGCGGAAGCGTACACGACACAAGCGCTGGCAGCGGAAGGCGCAGGATCTACGGTGGGTGGCTGGGGTGGTTGATGGTGGTGATAGCATTTAGACATGCCATATGTACTACACACATACATACAAGTAATAGGAAAAGTGAATTCGCTGCACCGTTTAGACCGGCTTAGTTCAGTTCAAATCACATTTTTTGTTTTTGCTATTAAATAACAACTAATAAACTCTACATACATATGTGTGTTCGTATGTATGAAGATATACATACATATGTACAGCATCGGTCATATCTATAGCACGCCATTTCAAAGTGATATTGTGTGCCACTTATGTTTATTTATTTATTTTTAAGAGTTTTCAATTAAAATATATTTCATTCTCAGACAAACCCCATATAAGCCCAAGTTTCATAATTTGTAGAAAACTACAAAAAAGTGCAAAAAATTTTCACCTAAACTTCAAACTTTTTTCTCGGAAGTGTTAATTTTTTTTTGAGTATACAATTTTTTAGCCCCTTCAATTCTAGTCTCATAATGTGAAAATTTCAAGTGGCTACGAATTACCGTTCATTTTTTTTTTGTCGCATATAATGAATAATGGAAGAAATCCGCAACACCTTTGGCGAAAAAAATTCTAAAAAATCAGCGGTAACTTTTAGCCACTTGAAACTTGCGCATTATTAGACTAAAATTGAAGGGGCAAAGACAGTGTACTCAAAAAAAATCCAACACTTCCGAGAAAAAAGTTTGAAATTTAGGTGAAAATTTGTTGCACTTTTTTGTAGTTTTCTACAAATTGTTAAGCT